GGTGTGGCTGTGTGGGGGGTGTATGGTAAGTGCATTTCCGTTTTAATGGTCAATTCGCACGCGTATTTTACGCTCGAATAATCGTATTTTGGCATTCGACAAAGTAACGCGAATAAATGATATATAACGATGGAAAGCGACATAAGAAAACGCACAAAGGTAAACATGGTGAATCACGCGGCGACGATAATTAATCGCTAATGTGGATCGCGCCCAATTGTTTTTCTCCGCAAACGTGCTGTTGCAGCTCAGTCTCTTTGCGGCTCGCTCGAAATCCAGTCAGAAAGCGGAACAAAGAGCTTGGGGTGTCGTCAGTATTCAATAGTAAATTAGTAAGGGGCATAAATCGTTTGGTGGGCAGTAATGGAGTTTTCCGAACAACACTTTATCTTTGAACAGCGATCTTGCCACAATGATGATAACTGACCTGCGTCACAATTGCAGCTATCCGCCCGGAGCGGCCGACATTCTGGTAGAGCTCTAGCCAGGAAACGTTGCTGATAGGTAGACTTTAAAAACGCTGCATAGTAAGCGAAGTTTCCGCAAATCCACATCTGCGTGACAAAACACGTGTAAACTCGTTGGCGTGTGACGCGACTATAGCACCATACTCCAACAAAGACGCGGTGTGCGTTATTCGTCGCTCAGAACGGGAACTAGGCAACAACACACGGCTAAATCAGATACCATGCGAGTCGGAGTAAAACTTATGTTCGGTGAGATCACACACACACACACACCACACACCACACAATCACATCACGACACACAAACGACACACACATACAGCACACACCACACACGCACGGCGCAACACACACAACCACATCACGCGCACGCACACCTGATCACACACACACACACCCACACAACTACACCATGGCACAACACACACACAGTGCACTCAGACACGCGCACGCACAGACAGCAGCACACCGCTAACGTCGCGCGTCGCATGCATACCCGACACGCGCGCAGGCACAGGCATTAACACCCCACATCACACACACACACACGCCATGCACACACACACACACAACACACACACACACACACACACATCGCCACACACACACACATCACACATACATCACGGCCACACAGCACACACCACACACGCACACACACTTACACCACTCACAACACAAGCACACACACACACACAGCATCACCACACAGCACACACACACCACACAGAACAAACATGGCCGTAGTAAAGAACGTGGATCGGGGAGTTAGACGCAAGTGACGATGCTTATAGAATGTGTTTTCTCCAAGAAGCCGTGCCGCCCGCCCGGGCCGACGCTGCCATCACGCTAAGAGAGCAACTAGACTGATTAAAACAGCTATACAACGGCACTCAACTCCAATGCACTATCCTAACAGCAGCGAAGAATTTATATCTGCGACGGCCATTCATTATTTAGAGGTTATCGTTTCCGGCGCAGTGTTCCAACATACCAGCTTAAAAGTGTTGTCACTCGTCTAGGTAATGGTCTTTTTAACCACGAGTCGCTGAAGCGGTAGCGAAAATATAAACTAGACTCCGGCTGGCCGTATTATCGGCAAGGACGCAGCTTTATTTGCGATTAATCGCCTTGGCGAATATCGGAGCGATCGGGCAAGTAAAAAACTGGCAGTAAAAAAGAAGCGACGGGCTTGCGGGGCCGACTCGTGGCGCCAGAGTAGTAAAAGACATATATGGTTTTAGGTGACAGCAACTGACCAGGCGTGATCCATGTTTGCTAACTGGAAGGTTAAAGGCAGCACGTATTCGCGCTTTATCTACACGGGCACGAGCGAGCTATTTGTGCTATCATTATAAATAGTAAGGATATTATACTGCTTTAATAATAGGCTAAGATATTATTAAGACTGCTAGTATCGTATATATATTATATATATATATATATATAATATAATAATATAATATATATATGGCCAAGAGTAGAATAAATAAGCACAAGAGTTAGCACACCCGATATGCCCGCATTTTCAGCTGCAGGCGATTTATTTCAATGCAAATTTGGGGCGGCACACATAAATAGCAAGATGTATGCGAGTATTGCGCTCAGCTTATTTATAAGATCGCACTAATAACAATCCATGGGCACAGCTTCGGATAGCGATAAATTTCGGGTTAGTCATATAATCTTGGGCTCAGCGATTGGCATAGTTAAATCGTAATAACTTGCTATCTGCAGGCCTGTGAATTGCCGGGGCACTCTTTACCGAACACGTCTATTGTGTAATGAGGAATGTTACAATCTCTCCAAAAATTTGTAAGCTATAGTGGGCGGCAATATATAGCCAAAAGAACACGCCGACATCTGTACCATATAGATATCAGCTCGTGCACGTCAGCTGTTTTACAGACATCGTTTTCATCGTGATCTGTTCTCCCTGCTGTCACACCTGTCAACGTCGAAATTTCGCTCCCCACGCTCTGTGCGCACACTCGCTGCACCGATAAATCAGCCATTAAAAACTTATTAGGGGGGAAAATGAGCCTTGTTAGACCGTAACCTGCGGGTAGAGACGATGCATCGGTCCCGGGAGTTCCGTAAGCGTGACACCTGGACATGTCGGGACCTGCATCGTTTGGCATGTGATTTAGCGATCACCCCTCAGCGATACTCACGCGCCTCGCCCCCATGGTTGTATAGCATATAATTATATCAGGAGTGGATAATAGAGATCTCTATTATCCACTCCTGATTATATGGTATTGTACAGAATATATTATGTGATTATGTTTTATTGTATGGAATCATTTTCGTATGAGTGTGTTTTATTGTATAGAATCATTTATGTATGATTATGTTTTATGGCTGTTGCTGCGCGTTCTCGCTACTTGATTTTGACGTGTGTCTAGTGTGCAGTCGACGCTCTATACGAGAGTCATTCAAATGAAAGCACACAATTATCATTTATAGAATTAGATATCCGTTTTATGAAGATGTCTTCACTGTACGGCTGCTACTCAGAATAAATCCCAAAACCAAGCTTTATAGACAGGTGTCCGGTCAAAGGAGGTGACCGCTAACGTAGGTTTGGATGTATTCAACACGAACCCTAATAAACATTCCTTCTCTCTGTTTGCGCTACATAAGTTACCACTGTTCCCATTTTGATATTATCGTCTAATCTCGAACATATCCTATTGTTGTCTTGAATTTAAATGCAATCTTTATTCGGCGCTTCACAAACACGCGGACGCACGCACGAGTTGCAACAGGTGCGCATGCACGTGTTTATTGTGAGAGTTCGGCACGAACAGAAATATGTGCATAATCGAATGTTTGCTGCTGGTAGGAGTTCTTGGTGTTAACGCACGTACTCACACGGAGGTACGTGTGCTAACACAACACACGCACGCAAACATGCGAGCTCATGTATACGCAACCTTCCCCCTCCCCACACACGCACGCACACACGTACATACGCACACACGCACGCACGCACGTACGCACACACGTACGCACGCACGTACGCACGCACGCACGCACGTACGCACGTACACAACCACACACACGCGCACACACGCGCATACACGCACGTACGCACGCACGCACACACACACGCGCGCGCGCGCAAGCTATAGTATATTTTCTGCTCGGAAAGCTGTTAATATCTTTATTACTGCAAATGATTTCAATGAAATGTCCAATTATCCACCTGCTGAAGAATATAACAGGCTAGTTATTTTTTTGATAATAAACATTTACAAATCCGTTGAATCAGCCTTCCCATAGACGGCAGCAGCCGAGGAAATAAAAATTACACGTCATTATGAGACTTTTGTGTCAAAGTGAAAGCCGCTTAAGCTCTACCTACATGTCCGCACTGCGGCAACCCGGAATGGAATGGCCACATGTCCGCGAACCCACCGCTGAAAGGAAAACTAACCGGGAAATAAAACCAATCTCGTCACGCGGCAATAAGGAAACTTTTGCCTTTTCGACATGCGGTTGGCTATTGCCGATTTCAGTTCTTTTTCAGCAGTTTGTGCAAATAGCTAGGGCTAAGTGGTCAAGGCATGCACCCGGCCACCGCACAATGCCGGCCATTATCATCTGGGCTCCAAAACAGACGGGTGAACAACCCCCAAAAGGGAACTAATACCACGTGGTTAGACTGTCGCACGCCCTTCCGGCCTAAGCGATGTTTACCCGCGATTTCGAGCGGGCGGTGATCATCTGCGCGCGCCAGCCACTCTCTCTTTCTCACTTTGTCGAGATCAGGTGTGCTCAGGTGTGTAAATCGTGGTGCTGGAACCTCCGCGCTTACACCATCGCAACCGTCTCCAGTCGAGTACTGCGCGTTGCGGCAGCGCGTATACGTGCGTACCTGTCTACCAGTAGTCGCTATCCGTCACGCAACCGTGACTCGCTCTCTCGCGCTCTCTCTCCACTCCGGCCGCTGGCGTTCTCACACTGCTTGCACGTACTGTGTTCGTTCGCATTGCATGCCAGCTCACAGGTGACGAGTCGCTCGGTAGTGAGTCCGCGAGCGCCTTTGACGCTGTTCAGAGTGAGTTCATTCTGGAAGCGAGTGTTGAAGCACGCTGAAGAGCGGACAGTTCGTCGTCGTTCGCGTGTCGCTACGTGTGAAAGGTCTGTTCGTTGACGGTTCGTAGATCGTCAGCGGTGCAAGTCGCTGGGTGTGCGCGTGCGATTCCACGAACACGCAGATAACGGCAGAAGCAGAGGAGGAGGAAGAGGTAGGAGAGGGAGAGAAGAAAAGAAGAGGAGGGGTGGCGGAAGAAGAAGAAGAAGAAGAAGAAGAAGACGAAGAGAAAGTAAAAGTAGAAACGTGAAGAGTCGCACCGACGGGTCAGAGTTGCAGAAAGTTGCAGTGCGTCGCGGGAATTGCTGAGAGTTGCAGAGAGTTGCCGCGGTTAGGAACGCTTCACCAAACTCCCCTCAACTTACCCCGTCGTGACTACCTGTCTGTCTGTCTGTCCGTCTGTCCGTCTATCTGTCTGTCTGCCTGTCCGTCTATCTATCTGTCTGTCTATATGTCTGTCTGCCGATCTGTCTGTCTGTCTGACTGCCAGTTGGTGTTCCGCTTTGCTCACTGTGTGCGCTGTTACCGTATGCCCGACGGATTGCTGCCGATGGTATTGTGTTAAACATCGGATCAACGCTATTGTTTGAAGGGTTTTTTCGCGCTCTCGCTCTTCGATAAACGATCCGCCAGCGAAGCGTAGTCGAACGGACGCGACTTCCGAGTTGGCGCGGACACAATCGCTTGACGGATGAGCTACGCTCTACAAACTGCCAGCGTCAATGTCGTCGGAGAAGTGAAATGATCGCGGCCGAACGACAATAGCCCGTGCCTTGTCGTGCCGTGCTGTGTGTGCGTGCGCCAGAGGCGCTTAATTTTTTTGGTGCTCGCGACAATACGTTTCGCGCTATACCGTCGTGTTGCGCAGTTGTGTGGTAGGCTATACCTTACGGTTTTGTGAGCTTGTATGTGAGCTCGATATACGTGCTATACGGGGTACGCGTGCCTTGTGTGGGCGGTGAGATAGCCACGTGTCGGCGATCAGTGTGAACTATAGTGACGGTGACGAAGCAAACCTGAGATCGCTAGCGATCAAACTTTCCCGTTTGCGTCCGGTGACGCAGCGAGAAGGGGAAAAACAGAGAGATCGAGGAGACACACACACAGATAGAGATAATTATAATTTGGAAGGAGGACATCTCGGACGGGCGCAGAGAAATTCCAGCACGGGCCGTGGTAGAATTGTGATTGCGTTTGGACCATCTACGCGTATTACAATCCTTGGAATCACTTGAGATCGCAGCCTCCAGCTGCACTGCAACATCCACTGCCCCAGCATCAGGATGATGCTGTGTACCTGCATGTACCACGTGCATGGCTATCATCCGGCCATGCATTTCCGAACCGTAAGTAAAAGCTTCGTTACATGTATATACTTGAATGTATACATGCACACGCACGCACGCGCCCGCAAGCACACACACACGCGCGCGCTCGCTCACGTACACACATGCGCACGCACATGCACACATACACACATGCGCATTAACATGCACACATACACACATGTACACACACACATAAGCACACACATAAGCACACGCGCACGCGCAATGCAATGATCCACTCGTTCGGACAACGTCGCATGTGGTGGATGCGTTGAAAAGAACGCGTAAAAAACTATTTTATCGGTTGTTAGAAACGGGTAAACACGCGCGTAAGCAAGAGTAAGGTAATAACATTGTAAAATTGTATTGTCCGCACAATCGAATTGCGAATTTAAAACTAACTACTTCTGGCGTAGGCTAGTAGTGAGTTATTGAGTAAGCTGGCAATAAGGAAGGAAAGAACCTAGTGGGTGAAGGCTAGAGTACGTTGAGAAATGATAGACAGTAGGGGGAAAGATAGAGGAGGGGAGAACATAGAGGAGATGTAGGGTGCGAGGAACGGGCGAACATGAAACTTAGCTGGTAGTGTATCGTGAACTATTGCGCACCACAATTCACTCTCTTCGTTGTTATACAGACAGAGTTCGCCGTCATTCGAAATATGCTACGGGGGGATTACGCGCTCCGCCCGCGCGTGTAAAAGCTGTCTGCGGTGTCGCTGATGTAAATAGCACTGACGGCAGTAGCAACAACAGCGCGACTTCGACGATAGATTCACGATAACGTCGGCTGGTGGGATTTTGCATGTTTGCGGAGGATTTTAGCATCGTCGGCGTGATAACATCGGACCGTCGTCCGCGAGAGAGTTAAAAGTTCCCCCTTTGATGTGGTTTTCCGGTTCATTCCATCGTCCTCTGTCGTCCACGCGTACAGATGCTATAGCTCGGACTGCAATAACCTGCCACGGTGGAAGGGATCGTAGCATGCTAAGCTGCGCTTCTTTGTGTCGACCGACCCCTCGACTGTTTGCGAAAAATAAAGCTCAGCTTTCATCTATAAGGCGTACAGCAAGCAAAATTAAATGTTCGCTAAGCTCTAGCGCGAACCTAGACTGTCGCGCGCGACTACGCGCTTCGCCATGCATGGGAGCGCGGGAGGGACGTGGGGACAGCAACAGGTGCGGGTGAAGACTAAAAGAAACTTTCAACTTTCAAACGTCTTTGTGGCAGTCGGCCGTGGAGTTCATTAACCAGAGAGCGGAGCAGGCCAGACGCACGGCGACAGCGATTAGGGTTCAGCTGTCACAGTCTTGCCTTTGCGTCTACCCTTCTCATACAATCAGCGCACAGATAGCTAGACCTGTTCTCTCTAGACGTGCACCGACGAAAATTCGATGACTTCTTTTCCCGTTGCGAAAGAAAAAACGTGAAGAGAGGTACACGTTCATGCCCGAGAAGACCCCACACAATCGGGCAACTAAGAGGTCGAAGGCTTTTACACAAGTGTATCACTGATAGTAATCCCTCTATAGGTGCTGTTCTCTAGGCACGAGCACTGGGAACCTCTCTGGTCGCGGTCATGACTCATCTATAGCAGGAGGCGAGCTAGGGTCAATCTGCCCGATCTACGCTAGGGGGCGCCCAGGTCGTCTATAGTTGAATAGATGATTCTAGTACTTCCACAATGTCTGTAACTTGTTTAGTACTTGTTTAATAATAATTTTTCCATTTTTTTATTTTTTGTCTGCAATTGGCTCTGTCGGATGCTGCATAACGTCTGGAATGACCAACAGCTTGATATTACTGCCGCAACGCTGCCCGATGTGATTTGGAAATTATTTAATTAGAAAAGCTAAACCGGGCGACGCTTCGAAATGCATGACAAATGCAACTGACGTTCGCATCATGAGTTTAATTCGGAAATTAAATCGGTGATTGATTACTCTATTTTATATACTTGACATGTGAATGTTTATGTAGAATGATCTATTACGCTAACTTACAATTCGTGCATCAACATGTCGATATTCGAGGCAGAATTGTCTAGCGGATGATGTAGCAGCATCCGTCCTTGATGTAGCATGGGTCCGTGTGCAATCAAACCTATATGCGAGGAATTTACAATGAATACGTCAGAAATGTCGGTTATGGATTCTATAAAGGTGGTTTCGCTCTGTAATTTCAGTGCCAGAGAAACGCTAAAGGTAACCTTATAGTTGTATATTGTGTTATTATATGATATATATTCTACTAGTGTTCTGGTGCGGTAATTCTTGCTACGTTTCGCTATTGTGAAAACGCCAGTTGTTTCCTTTATAGACGGGTATCCGTTCTATAGAGAGGCGTTCGTTCTGTAGAGGTGTTCGTTCTATAGGGGTGTCCGTTCTATAGAGGTGTCCGTTCTATAGAGGTGTCCGTTCTATAGAGGTGACCGCTAACACAGCGCTGACTGTATTTTCATTGATGGAGATAACGCCAGAGACGTATTCGGTCTAGACGCGCGCGAGCAATTTCTAGGCAATTTACGCTGTGTAATTATTACAGTGAATGTTTGTGTGTGTGTGTGTATGTGTGTGTGTGTGTGTGTGTGTGTGTGTGTGTGTGTGTGTGTGTGAGAGAGAGAGAGAGAGAGAGGCGATGCCTGTGCGTGCTCGCCATCGGTTGAGTTCGCAGTTGAGCTCGCTAATGAAGCTGACATTCCAGCGTTCGCAGACTCGAGTGTCAATGTCGGAGTGCTCAATGAGATTATGTTGTTGTAATAACCTTTTAGGATCCGACGCGTACAATGTTTGGTTCTACACCCGATAGCAGTCGCGTGTGCCTCTGTTGTGACTATGCGCCTGTGGGTGTGTGTGTGTGTGTGTGTGTGTGTGTGTGTGTGTGTGTGTGTGTGTGTGTGTGTGTGTGTGTGTGTGTATGTGTATGTGCGTTTGTGTGCGTGCGTATGTGTGCGTGCGTGCACGTGTGCGTTGCGACCACTGTGTGTTACTTTTGCCGTGTGCGTACGTCGCTGTTACCGTACGTGTGTTTGTGTGTGGCACTGTCACCGTGCATGTCACTGTCGCCATGTGTGTCACTGTCACACTGTGTGCTACTGTGACCGTATGTGTCACTGCCACAGTATGTACTATTGTGACAGTGTGTGCCGTTGTCATCGCAGTGTGCGTGTACGTCACTGTCACCGTTCATGTCGCTGTCACACCCTACAACACTTTCCTTGTATTTCCGTCGTGTGTCCGTCTGTCACTCTGTACGTGTGGCTGCGGGGTGAGAATGGAGAATTCCTCAAGTCTAATACAAGCACGCGTGTAACTCAAGCTAGCTTTATAAATAGCCGACTGCTAATTTTGTTCAGTTCGGAAAGTTTTTTTCGTGGGAAGTACGGGAGAATTACGGGGGAATTATCGGCCGGGAGAAAAGCTGTTAACGCTGCTCCGGATTGATATACCAGTGAAGACAGATAATTGCGTAGGGAGGGGGAGGGGGAAACGTGGCTGTGCAGGGAGCCGGTTTGACGGGTATTTGCTATTCCACATCAGCTGCGCAATCGTGGCGTAAATTCAAGCAATTTATCACTAGTTACCATTAGTTTTCACTACGGGTCGACCGACGAGTGACATGAGGGATGCGCTCGCCATCTTCGTAGGCGCTCGGACATCTTCGTAGGCGCTCGGACATCTTCGTAGGCGGGGGTTGGCACCGCGTGACTGTGACATTGTAGCGGCGTTTTTCTGCTGCGAGAGACTTTGAACGTGAATTGCGTGCAGTGTGGGCCCTTCGGTTAACTGTCGTCAAATGCTATTTGTTAAGAGTTAAGAAAGCTTTCGACGGCTGTTTTAAGTATTCGATAAACAAAGGGGGTAATAGTCAAGCCATTAGGCGCGTTCAAAATGCAGTAATATGCGACTGGTAGTGACCACGGGCTAAATGAGCGTTAGTGTAACCCAGCGGAACGCCTCTTCTGTTGCAGCGGAATACTAAACTATTTCCGCAGGCTCCGCGAAAATGCAAATCAGTAGGAAGTCGCAGTTTTACAAACAGCGTCGCGCAAAGTTGAGCGAAGTGACACACATTAGCATAGAGTTAAAGCGACGTGGCGACCGCGCGGGAGCGGGCGAATTAGTTGTTGTTCGCGAACTGTGGGGCGTAACAGTAGCTTAGAGGGAGGGGAGCGATAAGGAGAGGAGGAGTTAGGAGAGAGGAGGAGGAGGAGGAGGAGGAGGAGGAGTTAGAAGAGAGGAGGCGTTAGGGAGATGAGAAAGTGAGATATATATATATAGAGAAAGAGGGGGACAGACAGACAGACAGCCAGCCAAACAGGCAGACAGACAGACAGCCAGCCAAACAGACAGATAGACAGACAGGCAGGCAGGCAGGCAGGCAGGCAGGCGTGCAGACAGAAAATCAGTGAGAGAAAGAGACGAGATAGAGATCGAGATAGAGAGCTCGCAAACCCATTATAGCACGGGCGTTCATCTACATAATAGCTTGATAATAGTAAACCACAAGCACACCAGGCTCGTGGCCTGGGGGCGGACAATTTACTTAGCCCGCGTTTGCGTATCAAACGACTCTAAACGTTCGTCAATGGCCGTTTTTTCCTTGACACAGTTATTAGGGAAGGAGTGCAGGCAACGAGAGATTGAGCCGCTCGAAGCGAGAGCGAACGCCAGTCGTCCGTCATTCATTGTGTAATTCACGTGTGCGTAACTAACTATATAAGTGCTCCCAGCATTGTGAAGTGAAATGAGACGAGGTGAGATGCGCCCACGCACTGGTGTGTGTGTGTTGTGTGCTTTGCTCGTGTGTGTGTGTGTGGTGTGTGTGTGGTGTGTGTGTTTGTTATGTATGTGTATGTGTGTTGTGTGTGTGTGTGTGTGTGTATGTGTGTGTGTGCGCGCGGCGCAGGTGTGTGTGTGTATGTGTGTGTGAGTGTGTGTGTGTGTGTGTGTGTGTGTGTGTGTGTGTGTGTGTGTGTGCGCGCGGCGCGTGCGTGCGCGCGTGCGTTCGTTCGTGTCG